TTCAATGTAACTTCAAGTTGACTGCATGTCCAGATAATATTGTTCTTGTTCATGTTGGCTATTATATCCATTTTAGTAGCCTTCAATGAGTCTATGGTATTATGAAACCATGGATAATGCCCCCCCCCCCCCGGGGGGACAACATAGTCTAGGAAATTTGAATCAGGGGAGCTAGGAGGCTACAAGTTTAGGGTAACATATTTATGAAATTGTCTGTGTGGCATGAACTATATGTGAGTGAGCACAGTTCTACTGAAACACCTATAGCCATTCCCTTTATTCAGTGCGTGACCACTGTCTAGCACATTGAATTAGGTAGTGGAATTGACCTTGGGGCCATTCAAAAAGTAGAGTGGTAGGACACCCAAGCCCATCACAAATATTATGCATTACCATAGGTACCTCCTGTTCACCTGGCTCCTTTTAAGAAGTTTGCTGTCTCAGTCATTGTGGTTGTCAATGAGTGCCATATTACTTTCTTTTCCATTTCTTGTATCAAATTCTGGCTAAGCTTGTTATGTTCATTTTCACAGAAATACCTTTGGGAAAGGCTTGAATCATCTCTTCTTCACCCTCAGCTATAGGTTAACTAGCAGAACAGATTGGATTCTCTCACCTTGGTTGGCAACTAGTCTAAGTAAACGCAAACTTGGAATTCAAACCTGTTTAAAAGCTTCATGGCACACTTTTCTGTCAAAAAATGTGACTGGTTCTAGACAGGTTTTTACCGCTATAATCAAACCATATGTTTGGATAGCCTGGGGATTCAGTTATAAAATTGAACTGATGAGAACTTTTCAGCATAGTCTTCATGTGTACGTATCTGAATGAGAGGATGTGCTTTCTTCAAAAAGGTAATTCAATCTTGCTGGGCTGTAACATTCTCTATAGCTGAGTGAGTGAGAAGATGGTTGTATCTCCTGCAAAAGAGGATGCATGTTGAAACCCTACCAGAGAGCAAATTTTCTTTAAGTCTCTTGATTGTACAGGCCAGTAGACATAATTTACATTAACAAGGCCAGGGCATCTACATAAATGTAGTCTCCTCAAAAATAAAGCTTAGAGTAATAGTGTGTATATGTATATAATCTCTCACTCACTCACACACACACACACACACACATATATATATATATATATATATATATATATATATATATATATATATATATATATATATATATATATATTAATTGATTTGAAAAAAAAGAAAGAAAATCCTGATGGATTTCTTCAGTATTTCTCAAATCTTTTCTCATAAAAAAATCTTTCACAGGAGTGAACATTATCAACAATTATTCATGAATCAGAACAAATTTAATTTTTTTTTTTTTTTTTTTTTTTTAAATTGAAATTGTTTTTCATTTTCTAATATTACATTATATAGAGTATTTTTAAGGGACACAGCAAGATGAAAAGGTTATCTGTATGCCTTATAATTTATTCCTAAGTAGTGATTAGCCAAGGTAAACTTTTCACCTAAAAGGTCTATGATTATAGGTTGAAAGAAGAGTGATGGTAGTAGTTAAGAACAACACATTAATTTGCATTCACTTTTAACCAATTTAGCAAGATTAAAAATCTGGAGTTTTCTTGACTGCACAGATAAAATAGTTGATGCGATGTGGGGAATTATAAATACTACCATTTCTATTTTTATAGTGTGTGTAAAGTGGTAAGGAATAAATGGCAGTTTTTGGTGAGTTTGCAATTTCTGGACAAGAAAACAACAATAAAAATGAAGGTGTCAGATAAAGAATGAATATTATTATTCTTAATATCAAATTGTACAAATTGGCCACAAGAATCTTGTTGGTGCAAACTAAAGCTTTCAGTTTGCATATGAACGATACACATTAGAGAAACAAATTTAAATTTATCTACTGAAGTAAAACCTAATTTTCTTAGAAGAATCCATAGAATGGGAGCTTGGGATTTTAATAGAAATTATCATATCATTTACTTATTTTTCACTATTATTAGGTTGTTTGGAAAATAATGTCCAATTTTAGAGTCAACTTTTATTCCTTAAAGTCAAAATAGGAATCTTGAATATATATGTATTTCTGCTGTTGAGTTACAAGGTTATTTATGCCATTATAATAAAACTCTAAAATTTGGATGCCAAGAGATTTTTAATGCAGTTTCTGCATTTTCTTTGCAACGGAATGTCTTTTAACTTAAAAAATTGTCAAGATGCTTGCAAAAGTGGTAGTCAGTAGGCAAGAGATCCGAGGAATATGGTGGATGTGACAAAATCTTGTATCCCAAGTTGGTAATTCCAAAAAGCTGTAATGGATAATGCCAGTGACAGACCACGAGGCAGTCACTATAATCTTACATTAGTGCAATTTCAGTTTTGGAAAGTTTGGCTGCCTCATCATGATCAAGCCATTGAGCTGATCATTTCTGATCACAAGTCACTATTTGATCAAGTAATGAAACATTTGAATTTCAAAGATGCAGCATTAAACAATTCAGAGTTCATGTGGAACTCATTTATTGAGTTTCTTGCTAATTTTTTTAAAGATTGATATTGCTAAAATGCTGACACTCATTATCTGAGACATTTCTCTGACACTTTGATATAGGTTTTTCGAATAGTGTTTTCAGGTGTTGATTGTAAATTGCAGATGGACAGAATTGTATCCCTGCTTCAGAACCTCGGAAACCAACTCCGTACTGTCCAATCACAAGTAGATCCTTCACTTCCATGCTCTGTTAATGTTGGTAGCAGTTTGAGAAGCATTATGACATTGCTTGAGCTCATGCAAAAAAAGTCATGTTCAAGATGAGGTGGCATATATAATGTTTTAAGTTAATTTGATAATTGGCATTCAAATATTTTTGTTATAAAATTTATAGATTTATTTTGTTAATATTTGGGTTTAACAACTTTGAAAAAAACAACTGTTTTATAAATAAGTCTATCAAATTGGCTTTTTCTTCCATGTGTTGTGTCCCACCAGGACGTGGATGATCATGACTCTCCACAACTTCCTGTCCTTTGTAGCTCTTAGTAAAGTTGTTTGTCTTTTTGCTATATTTCCTAATTCCTCTCCTGCCAAGCATTTATACAAGCTCATTAAGTAGGTTACATACTGCTTTTCTCTTTCCCTCTTGCTGTCAGTATATCCTGTGAGTAGCAAATTTTCTAAGCCCTCTTTCCTCATTATGTGCATTAGAATTTTCAATTATTTCTTTCTGATTCTACATATAAGTCATTCTTTGTTCTATTTTCTCTAAAACTTTGTCGTTACTCACATGTTCAGTTCATGGTATTCTCATCATTCTTCTGTAGCTCCACATTTCTGTTGCCTCAAGTCTCTTCTCCATCTGAGGAGATTGTCCTGCATTCATTTCTATATAGGAGGACTGATATTACATAACAGTTCAGTACTCCTTTCTTTGTTTCTAATGAAATTTTCCTGTTTCTTAATACTTTACTTACTTTTCGGAATGCATATTTTGCTCTCTTAATGTACCTTGGGAGTTGGTGTCATATTTTCCATCACGCTTCCTAGATTTAAATTTTTGCACTTGTTTAATTTTGATATTTCCAATTTGTAATTGACATTGGGCTATTTCTTTTGCTGACAACCATACAATTGATCTTTTGTTCTTTCTTCTCATTTTCCTTTACTACTGTCTTTAGGAGTTTTTGTAATTTTCTTTCTATGTCTGCCATCAACACTTTGTCATCTGCATATTTTATGCCATTAAAATTATAGCTGCCAATAATGAATCCTGGTAGAACTAATAATTCTCTTAGGATTGCTTTACTGTAAAGTTTGAATAAGCCCATTGAAAGGACATATCCTTAGCTTACATTCCTATCTATATTTGTGTATTTACTGAATAAATTTTTTATCCTCATGTAGGCGGTTTCCTCCCAGTATAAGTTCTGGATTATTTATAAATAAATCAAGTTTTCCTATCATTTCAAACAATTCTTTTGCATGCTCTATAAAATATAGGTATACATCCCTTTGCATTTGTATTGCTCTTTTTTTATCATTCTGAGCATAAATATTGCATTTCTAGTTCCAGTGTTTTTAACGAACCTGCATGCATTCCCTTATTTCTGGTCTAATTCTCTATTCATGAGAATTTGGATGAAGAAAACAGTTAAGAGAATTGAATTTTATTAAAATAACCTTTTGTAATTTGGCATCAGTTAGAAAAAGATGCAGTTTATCATTTTAAAGCTTTCAAATTTTTTGTTAAAAATGCAAAATAACAATTCATTTATTTAAGGTGTTTGTTATAAATGCACAGGTTATCTCCCTTGTATTAAAAACCACATCTTGTATTTTAGAGCTTGCTACTGGCATGTAGGGAATTTTTTTTTTTTTTTACAAACCATTTTTTTCATTTTTTTAAAATTTTATTTTACATGTGATGAGAGAGATTGCAGAAGTTAATTGAGGTTAAAATTTCCTAAATGTTTTGTTAAATTGCATGTATTATCATTTTGTTACTGTTCAATCTTTGTGTTATTCTATATTCAAGATAATCTATATATTATGAAAATAATATAGTACTTTCAGGTGAATTTCATTTATTTATTTTTTAGTTATGTATTTTTGCTATCTACTAGATCAGGTTAATGCAGTACAATGGTGGTCACATAAGCCCCAAGTTTTTACTTCCCTCTCCTTGTCCACTAAACCAAATTGCAGTGTTTGTTGTCATCAGGACCAGAATTTGTAAGTCTCAAATAGATCATTAAGCCATCAACAGCTAACTGTTCAGTTTGGGGTAGGGATTCACTCACAGTGAATGACTGTTCTATTTTCAGTACAGACTTTTTAATATATAAGAGAATAAAAGTGACCAATACAATCTGTACCTGCGACTTTGATAGTCACCTTTTTACATGTCTACCTCTGTTTCTGCTTGATAAGCAATGATGTTACTAACTACAGCCAAAACAATTGCTTATTCACACGATACTGGACACAATACTGAATCAACTAAAACTTGTGGTTTACTTCCAGGTTGTTCTGAAAAAATTGGAAGAATTCCATTTGCATCATTGATAGCCACCATCATCTGCTTGGCTGGGATTGGAGTGTTTTGTGGGACATTGTACCAAGCACTGCACATCTTTCTTGTACAGATTGTTGATGAATTATTTAAATTCAAAGTTGGATGGTAAGTGATGTGATACTTTTTTAATCTGCCTTTAGGAATTTACAAAGTGATACATAATGAAGACATAAAGTAGTTAATTTTCTTTTACTTTAAGTAGTTGTATACTTTTATCATGCTAACATTCATATATTTATAAATGTTTTTCATATAATGTGACAAGAACTCTATCTTGGTTTACAAGAAAAAGATTTGATTTTTTTTATTTAATTCAATAGGCTATATATAACATAGAACATCTTACAAGATGCCTATTCAGCTATTACTGATTAAAAATACATTTTTACAAATTTTTTTTTACAAACAGACAAGCAAATGAGGGGAAATGTAAATGTATACATTTTTAATGGCAGTAATATATTAAAATGTTATAAGATTTTAATTAAACTATTTTCTTTAATTTTTATCAAAGTGTATTCGATTTTTTTCAGTATATAGAAAAAATCTCTACTTTGTTCAATGATTTCCTAATTTTCACTATCTGTTTAAAAGCATACACACCTGGAAAAAATGTTGCCTACTTCTGATGAAAAATTTTGAAAAATGTTCATAAAAAAATACTAGTAATATTAGAACTTTTATAAAAACATGACTGTTAATCTGAAAAGTTTCAAATTTAGTTATTCTTTTTGTCACTGTATAATGCACAATGAAATTGAACAGCAGTCCTGAGGTACACCAATACACACACACAAAAACCTAAATTGGAAAAAGTAAAATAAGGTATGAGTTCTCAATGTCAGTTAAACATATATAAACTCTAACATATCTCAGTGTGGAAGAGAAATATATTTGTAACTGTGGCTACATTAAAGCAGTAATGTATGTAGATTATGGTAGACAAATTGTAATTCTGAATTATAAAGATACCAGACCATTGTTATCATAGATTGAATGTCTCAGAATTTCTTTTTATAAATAGAAAATTTAAGCTTTCTATACTATTTTTATTAAACATGAACAATTTTTTTTAAGCATAACAGAATTTATATAAAATAATTTTGAATATTGTAATTTCACAATGGCCTTTCATTTTTGATATTTATAAATATTTTGTATATATCAAAAAGTTTTGATGGATTACATTATAAAAAAAATAGAATGTGACAGATGGATTCAGTAAAAGAAATTAAATTATATAATTTTGATAGAACTGAATTTGATGATGATTTTGTGGAAGTTTTAGAAACAGCGGCACGGGCAAGCTAAAAATAGAACACTCTTCATTTTTATAAATTTATCATAGTTAATGCAAAGGTTTAAACTATGTAAATACATCATAGAGACAAAGGAACTTTTTAAAAAGCAGTCCAGTAAGACAATAAACAAAGGTCATAAGTGGAGAAAAGAAATTCTTAGTTGTTGTTCCCAGGATCTTGCCTGGAGTGAAGATCGGTCCCACATGGACAAAAAAACCCTGATACTTGGAAGAAAATACATTATGTAAAAAAGAATAGAATGTGACAACTCGTCAGTAAAAAGTTATATTCTTCCAACGAGAAATGATGAAGAAACAGCGGCAAAAAAAAAAAAAAAAAAACAAGTCCATGCAGAACATCAACAGAAAAGAAATTGATGTTAATAGTGAAGGCAAAGATACTTGGATCTCAATTGAAGAGAAAAAAAAAAAAAAAAGAAAAAAAAAAAGAAAAAAAATCAAAGAAAAAAATGTTAAAAAAGAAAAAAAGAAAATCAAATACAACAAAAGAGGTTGAGGTTGGTCTTTTTTTCACTTTTGTAAATTAATGTTTTGGATTGTGGTTGCGAGACATGTATCCGTCTGTCTATTGGAAAGGTTTGGGAACCTAAGCGATATTATTCGGAGAACCGTCAGGAAGTTTGAATGAATATCTTCATGCTCCGAGAACTGTCAGAGCCGTAACGAAAACCTGAAGGTGCCATCGCCTATTTTTGTCATCATTTTTGTTAAAAAAAAAAATAAAAAAGAAAACATAGAGGGAGAAGAAAAAAAAAAAAAAAAAAAAGAAGACGGGGGAAAAGAAGTTATACCCCTTGCATTGCAGGCAAAAGAGTTTGTAATAAAAAAAAAAAAAAAAGAAAAAAAAAAGGGGTAAAAGAGTGCCAACAAGCCGAAAAGTGACTAATTGACATTTCCTTGTCCCTTACACTAGGAATAGGAATACGAACATCCTAACTGAGATATACAAAAGATTGATATTCCATAAATGTTTGTTGTCTCTTCTTTTTTTTTTATTATTTTTGAAATAAAAAAAAAAAAAAAAAAAAAAAAAAAAAGAATTGTTTTGTTTTTTTTTTTTTTAATATAGAACCGATTCTTTCACATACCTAAGCCCATAATCGCTTATTTCAAAAATGGACAAGCAGGGTAGCCTCATAACCCGCCCTGGAAGATCTATCTGCAGTGAGGAGACAGTGCGAAATAAGCGATTGGCGCGTCGCTCCAGGTAATTTCTCCTCTTACCGGCTGGGACGTAGTTCTCAAAATGCATCACGTTGAGAAATAAAAATAAAGCCCAGAAGGAGAACGTCACATGGGGCTCTCGTCCGGGATTTGTTAAAAAAAATATATATACATAGATATATATATATACCATAGATATATACGAACTCATATGATGAATACTTTTTGTGTGTGATAAAACGAAAACCTCGGAAGAAAGAAAAACTACACAACTAATCATCGAAGAACACAAAAAAAATTTTTTTCTTGGAAAAGAAAAACGATACGGTCACCGAAATTCGGGAGTTTGGAAAAATTCATTTGTTCAAAAGCATAGACAGCGAGACTTGCTTACGAAAAAAACCATAGTGGGGGCTCAGCAGCCAATTTTAAAGAAAGAATCAACGGAACGATTAGGCAGTTAACCTAAATACAAACGAATCAAAATGGATGAAATGGAAGATTTTTTTTTTTGAACCGTCACTTGAAAAATTAGAGGCAATGAGGAAGAGCATTCTATTGGAAGTAGGAGAAAAATTCGAGTTAGAGACCAAAAAGGCGATGAGAAAGGAAAAGATAATTCGAATAATAGTCGAACATATGATAGATGAACAGATATTCAAACCGGAGATGTTAGAAAGAATACCTGGAGAACCAACCAAGTTGTCTGCGGAACAAATAGAGTTGGAAAGATACAAAATACAAACGCGATTAGAGTTGGAAAAAGCCAAACTAGAACAAGAAGTGCGTTTGAGGGAGATCAGACTGTCGGAGATGGCAAGAGAACCAGGCCATGGCGATTTCGACGTGACTAGGCAAGTCAAAATGGTACCCAAGTTCATGGAAGCGAACGTGGACGAATATTTCCATCACTTTGAAAATACAGCAGTTAACCTTGGTTGGCCGAAGGAAAAATGGGCCTTGCTTTTACAAACAGCACTCGTTGGAAAAGCGCAGAAGGCGTTTACCACGCTTTCATCGGAAGAATGCATGAAATACGATATAGTCAAAGGAACCATACTACAGAGCTTCGAACTCATGCCAGAAGCTTATAGGCAGAAGTTCAGAGCATATAGAAAGAACGAGAATCAGTCGTTCAAAGAATTCATCGCAGAAAAGGAAAGACTAATGAACAAGTGGTTCGATGCTAAAAGGGTGGGAAACGATGCTGAAAAAGTAAAACAACTGGTATTACTGGAGGAAATATTAAACGGACTGCCTGAAGAGATGAGGATATACTTGAACGAGAGGAAGATAGATACAGGCAGTGAATTAGCAGTCATAGCGGACGAATATACGATAACACGGAAAAAGAGGCAGGAATAAACCCAATATAACTAGTCGAGTAAGCAGGCCAGCAGAACCAACTATGAAAAGGGACAGTTGGACAAGCGACCGGACAACACCGACAAAAAAAATCAACCCAATCACGTGTTATAAATGCGGCCAAGGGGACATATAGCTATAAAGTGCAAACTAGGACACGGTCCAGAAACGAAGACGACAGGAGAAGCTAAACCACATGGAGGCGTATCATCGTCCCAGGAAAGCAAGATATATCAACCCTATGTGAGAAAAGGGAAGATCATAGACGAAGAGGGAAACAGCACGCCTGTGACCATTTTGAGGGACACCGGAGCTGCCCAGTCCTTAATTCTGGAAAAGAAAGTACCCTACAGTCGAACGATAGGATCCGCGTTAATTAAAGGCGTGGGGAAAGGCGATGAAAGTACCCCTGAAGAAAATAAAGTTGATAACAGGAAGAGTAAAAAAAGAAGATGGTAGTCGGAGTAGTAAAGACACTCCCCATGAGAGAAATAGACATCCTTTTGGGAAACGAAGCAAAAATCGAGTTAAATCAGATGGATGAAGGAAACCGTGAAGAAGAAGCGAGCAAAGCGGTGCACAGTTACAACCTGAGGAGTAAGAAGAAGACCATGGGCGAAGAAAAGATTCCGTTACTAAATAAGTCACGCGAAGAGCTGAAGAACGCTCAGAGACGCGATGACAGTCTGAAAGAACTGTATAAACAAGTGGGTAAACCAACGGACGAAGAACACGCTCAACGGTATTACGTGGAAGATGGAATATTGATGAGGAATTACAATAACGCGTGGCAAACAGGGGAAAGGGGAGAGCCATATCGCCAGATAATCATGCCGAAGGAATACCGAGAGGAAATGTTGAGATTGGCTCATGAGATTCCATTAGCCGGACATCTGGGCATGAAACAAAACCCATGAAAAACTGACACGACACTTCTACTGGCCCAGGCATAAGAACCAGCGTGAAAAGGTTCTGTAACTCATGCGACACATGTCAGAGGGGGCAGGAAAGCCTAAACCAGGAATAACCCCAGCACCACTTAAGCCAATAACAATAACTGGGAAACCTTTTTGAAAGAGTGATGATCGATTGCGTGGGTCCCCTACCTAAGACAAAGTCCGGATACAAGTATCTGCTGACGATAATGTGCGCCAGCACTAGGTTCCCCAAAGCCGTACCGTTGGAACATATCCACGAAAAAAGTAGTGGAAGCACTAATGAATTATTTTTCGAAGATGGGAATCCCTGAGGTCAT